TGCTATAAGGGGACAAGACCTAGTTCTTGTCACCAGCAGAGGATGGCTACAGATGTGGGAAAGCCCGTACTCTCTAAGCTTCTCAGCAGAATCAGCCTGAAAGGTGGAAGGCAGATTTAAAAGGATTCTTGCACGTACTTCATGCAGTTAAGATAACACTTTCTGCCCTTATAAAAATACTATCACCACTAGAGAGATACAGCAGAAATTGGGAAAAAAGTAACCACCCATATTTCTACCTCCCTTAACATAGGCACTAAGACTCTTTGTATTTCTTTCCATCTTTTAATTTATCTGGGGCCTCATTTCTTTATTTACAAAATGAGAGACCAGAACCAGAAGCCACTTTTCAGTTTTAAAAGTTTAAGATTCTATGAGACTGCAGATATCTTAGTATATCTGTTTCTGTCCAAAACGAATCAACTGTTATTTTTATAGGTTAAAGCTTTGATGCTAGTTCTTAACATGTACAGTTTTTATTTGTTTGTTCGTTTTTGGTATCAGCAACTGCTACATAGTGTTCAAAAAATCCCACTGCACATAGTGTGTCAGGTCCGTATCGGGTCCGTGAGGATACTGTTTATGTCCTCAAGCCTAAATAGCAGCTCCGCTGCAGGAAATCCTCATTAGCACTCCTGACAATGGAGGCGTTCATAGAAGGACTGAGAACACAGGCTGCCCTGTGTCCTGGCAAGTCAAGTAATTTCCCAGGCAGATGTTTCCCATGTTCGACTGCTCAGATCTCCTGACGCCACTCGGCTTTGGAACAATTCAGAATAATATTTAAGGAGACAAACAGTTACTGATTGATGGCCATGAAATACGGCATAACTAATCAAAGTGTATGTGAAAGTTAAAGTCATATATACCTTAGTCACATTTGGATGTTCAGTATAAATGTTGAAACATTGAAATACAGTAAAACATGAACTACATTAAAGTCAGTTTGGCCCATAACTACTTTTCTTCCTAGTGATTTTGCATCATTGATTTCTGTGCAAATAGAAATGTTTGAAAATGCAGATTTATAAAGCAGTCATTTAAATTGGGATCAGAAGCCCACCAGTTAGCTTGTTCCAAATTACTGCCTCAGCTAGAACATGCCTTGCTCTAGGGAATACTTTGTTATAGTCCAAACTATAGCTCAGTCTGGGAGGCACAGAACAGGTGGGGGTGTCCGTGAGCTAGGACAGTTCTTTCTGAATTCAGAGATTAATTAATGAGTGTAATAATTGATAATTATAAGAAAGAGTTAGTGAATTTTTAAGTCCAAAAAAGCCATTTAAAAGCATTATAAATATAGGAAATAAAGAGAAAGTGCTTTAAGGTTTTTTTTTCTTAAGGCCTAACCCAAAAGTAGAGGAAATTGTCACATCCTCTTTTTCTCTTTTGTGAATATTAGCAATTCACTGAAAAAAAAATCAGAAACGTCGGGAATTATGCCTTGCTGTGGCTTAAATTTTTTTCATAGCTGTTGTAAAAGCTAAACCTTTTTGTACAACTTTAACCCTGTCAAATTTTAGAAAAAAGGACTATTTTGTGCTGCCTTCTCTGTATAATGGAGATGTAAATCCCATCTTTCTATTTTACAGTCTTAAAAAGTATTTAAGTATTTCTGGTACATGGGTCTATGACACTCCACAAAGCATGGCTCATATTCTTTTGTAATCTACGGTGTTAGATGTTTAATCTCTCTGAAATATCTACGACAGCACCTAGGTCAATGCCATATAAGGAGATTTAAAAAAAAAAAAAGAAGAAGAAAAGAAAAATTCAGGGCTAACACAGCCAGCTCAAGTCTTAACAAAGGACTCAAGTTTTTGGGAGGCCTGGGAAGCACACTTGGGTTAAACCATGGCTGAAGTTAAATAACTTTGAATTAAAAACAGAAATTGCCACATTGCCTGCATTCATTCTGGCACATTATGTCCTATTGTCTTGACAATATTACCCTTGTTATATTGCAGACTTTTGCAGGAAGGAATGGTTTCTATATAAAAAGGAAGAAGGAGGAGGAGGAGAAGGAAAAGGAAGAGGAAGGAAGGAAAGGAAGAAGTAATGATAACATTACATCCCGGGGGGCAAATCATCCAGAAGAGAAATCTAATGCACATAGTAAAGTGCAATAATCATGCAACTGGTGTATTTACCTTTCAACCTAATTTCTATTGAATTTTAATATTCAGTTGTTTCTAACTAAGTGAACATTAATATATATAATGTGTGTGTATGTGTGTGTGTGTATGTGTGTACAATTATATCACTGTCTTCTTATACTTTAATATAGGGTTTCAGAATACATGGAATTCTAGCAATAAAGTGCTGGATGTCTGAAAGTCCCCTAAAGGGTCAGAAATCAATACAAATATAACAGGGTATTTGTCTAAGTAGATTGAAGAGCAATCTGATGAGTTTTTCACCTTTTAAAAAGGGAGGAGAAAAATGATTTTAATGTCCTAGAACCAAAATAACTTAAATAATTATGGCAAACCCATGCAACTATTAAATATTATGTTGTCAAATATTTAACATCACGGGAAAATGTTAATGATACAGTGTCAAGTGAAAAAGATGATTTCCAAATAGAAAGGAAAACAGAATTACCCTGTGTGAAAATTTATACACATAGAAAATACGCAGAGAAGGAAAAAAAAAGCAAATTATACATGCCAAGATGTTAATAGTGCCTATGTCTAGGTATTTATACTATGAATATTTTAATTTCATTCCCTTTGTCCATATTTGCTAAATTTTCTATAAGTTGTTAGATTTATAAGAAAAAAGCAATTAACATTCTTGTATGTATTATTTTGAGATGCAAGGAACTCATAGCAGTGGTTTACCAGCCTTGGATGTGAATTAATTTGAACAATCTTAGTCTAAGAAAATATGTATGACTTATTTATAGAAAGGTGATTATTTAGGAATGATTTACACAATTCTCAATATATAATTTGATGCCTTTTCTTTTGTTTATAATGGAAGGAACTGATAAAAATATATACGATTATATCCTTTTTTCTTTTAGATAAAACTGTTGCAATTACCTGAGAAAACTTTGGATGCTCCAAGTCCTTGGGCTCAAGTGCTTAATTATAAAGATAACAAGATTGAAATTCAGGAATGGAAGTTTAATTAAATTCTTGTGGACTTTCTACTACAGCAAGTAATCACACACACACACACTCACACATATTATACTGCGTTCCCTGGCTTTGAGTGCTTACCATCTTCTTTAATAAAAAAATCTTCTTTTCAAACAAATAAAGAGGTGTAAAGGTAGCATATACAACCATCTGAGGGGACGGCATTGCTGAAGAACCTGTAAAACCAAGCATACATTGTGTCGTGGAAATTCTAGCCAAAATGGATGTGTCAGTAGGTCATGGTAGACTGTTCGAATTCTTTAATGAACTTATCTTTGCCAGTGAAAAACAGGTAGATAACTCTACATGCTTTTAATAAAAGTTAAATCTCAAATGTGCTTCTATTTTACAGAATATCTCATTAGTTTCACCTTTGTAACAGTACTACATAATTCCTTAAAAAATTATTTTACTTCTCTGTAAAAAAGTTATTACATAAAATTACTCTAGCTATCAGTGTAATTTAGAATGGTCCACAAACAATTATGTTTAAAAAGAACAACTTTAAAATTGAGTCACTTCTTAGTTTTTATAGATAGAATCTTTATTCTGAATTTAAAGAAGTCCAGGAGTTTCTATGACATTTCAAATAGAAAGAAAACATAAATAAATTAATCCTTCCATGAAGAAGGAAGACTAAGAAGGTAACTTGGTTTGGAATGTTTAATGCTTGTAGAATTTGCCTCTGAACATCACTTCTTTATTCATGTGTTCCTTAACATCCCTGAAACTACTACATTTGATTCATGATACTTTTGTTCTTTAAGGATTTTGGACAAAATAAGAGAATTTATTTACCTCTATTGTTTTTGCTTTTAATTAGAACATTTTGTTTTATTCTTTTAGTAAATTCAAGCATTTGTATTTAACTGCATTAGATAATATGTTTATTGAAGAGTAATACATTTAGAGCCACAAAATACAAATTAGATATGAGCCCTGAGTCACTAAGGTATGAAATATGCCAAAGTTATAAAAACATATCTTTACATTTAAAAAGTAAACTTTGTATATGTAGGGGAGCAAAATTTTGTCACTGTAAAATGTGTCTCTTCTACATGAAGATTATTAGATGGATTATTCTTAAGAAACAGAAGACTCAGGACTTCTTTTTATTTCCCCTTTAACTGCCTAAAAGAATTTAGATAAAGGACCTGGTCCAGGAAGAGCACCATCACCAGAGATACCTACTAGAATATGAGTTGGTGTGGTAGGGGGACCTGTACATACATACGATGGAATATTACTCAGCTACAAAAAGAATGAAAGAATGCCACTTGCAGCAACATAGATGGACCTAGAGATTATCATATTGAGTGAAGTTAAGTCAGACAGAGAAAGACAAATATCATATGATATTGCTTATTTGTAGAATGTAAAAAAAACCACAAATTCTATTTACAAACCACAAACAGACTCATGGACATAGAGAACAAATTATGGTTACCAAAGGGGAAAGGGCAGGGAGAGATAAATTAGGGGTTGGGGATTAACAGACACACATTACTATATATAAAATAGATAAACAAGGACCTACTATATAGCACAGAGAACTATATTCATTTCTTGTTAAAACAAATAATGAAAAAAGAATCTGAAAAGAAAAAATATATATGTATACACGTGTATAACTAAAGCACTTTGCGGTATACCTGAAACTAGCATTGTTAACCTACTACACTCTAATAAAATTTTTTTAAAAATAAAATAAAAATTAGAGTGACTAGTATTTGCATTTTCTCTTCCCAACTACCAGATACATTTCTCTAAAAATACAGAGCCATAATTATTAAAATGTTCTCACAAAAAAACATAGCAAGGCATTAAAAAAAAAGACAAATGGAAAAAAAAGAAACTAGATAAAGCATAGTTCTGGAGGTAAATGGACATGTTTTCATGCAAAGGAGAATGAGCTGAGAATTAATTAACTAATTAATCAAGATAGATGACCCAATGTTAGGACTATAAAGTTTTAAAAGAAGATTTTATATATATATATATATATACACACACACACACACACACATATATAAATTTGTATATATATATATATACACACACACACACATTTATAAATATAAAGTATTTATTCCAGGAGGACATATACTAATATATAGTAATACATAACTTTACATTTTTATATTTTATCATATATAAAATGTTACATATACTATTCTAATATATAATATGCTTTTTATTAGTATATATCCTCCTTGATGTAAACACTCCTCCTGTGACCACTGTACTGTTAGAATTTGGATAACGTTGGCTTCTGTCTCATATGTTGGATCTTGCTCTATTGTGCATAGTCATCTGAGGGCCTAAAAATTACTGAACAAGCTTGTTTAGATACATCTAAACAGGAAAAGACATCTCTATGCTCCAGTGTTTTCCAACACTTTAGGAAACAGGTAAAAGAGTTATTCTAGGAGACTGAGAGCTTACAATCTAACAGAGACTGTAGAGAGTACTGTACATCTGATGAAGGTCTCGAACCATGAAGTGACCATTTGAATTTTTCCTTTTCTCTTTCCTTCTCTCCATCTCTACTCCTCTTCTTCCCAGGGTCTCTTGCATCGGCTTTCTCTAACACATTAAAAATATAATAAATCTTTTAACTATAAAACCTCAATCTATGTTGCTTATTTAGTCATTGCGTTGAAAAGAAAACCAAAACAATAGTTTTATTTAAGTTATTTAAGTATAAAATAGCTGCAAATTTCCCCAAACACACTCACTTCTAATTCAAAATAAAGCGAAAGAAAATTTTGAAAATTGAGATGCATTGTGAAAGATGAAGCACAGTAAATAATGCGGTAGCATTATTTTTTATTGACTATAATAATTTTATCTTAAATGTAGATAATCAGTTAAATATAATTTATTTATATAAAATTATACTGTCAGGCTAATTTTCTCATTTTAAAAACGAAAAACAAAGAACAATGAAGAATGTGCTTAAAGTTTAGTCCTAAATGTGGAGCCTCTCAGATATCCTTTATTTGGGGCCTCCATCTCAAGAAATACACCTTTCTGCCTCCAGAATATTTTCTGGTGGAGTCTGGTCATTAACCAATATCCACAAATCAACATCTTATTGCCAACGTGATGTGTGTAGTAAAACTCGGTACCCAGAACCATCCACCATTTGAATTTTCCATTCATATGTGCATGTCTATAAAACATGTTCTCTTTAAACTTTAAAAAATACCCCCCAATTTTTAAATTTTCTAACAAATACCTTCCAATTCTAAAACAGAAATTTCAAATTTCTGCCATTCATCTTTTCATTATTTGCTAAATTTGTGATCACCATTGATCAGGTTGCTTGTTTTTAAAAAATTTGCACAAACCGAAACTATAACGTTAACAACTTATATTGTTCCTTAGCCTCTAAAGTAAATCTGTCTCATATCTTAGCTTTTATAGTAGATTTAACATTGGTGTTAGATACAAAAGCAATGATAACTGTTAAGTGTAGGATTACACATTTCACCGGGGAGCTTGAGTATAAAAAATAGATCATCAGAATTCTGTGTTTTCTCTATAAATATTTGACTTAAAATTAATCATAGGTAATAATATATGACTTCAGGTACGATTTTAAAATAGGATTTTTAAAGCCTTCAAATGCCTGTTCAGAACTCATAACTTAAAACAATATAACATAATGAAAATTGTAAATAGAAAAAACACTATTTCATGTAGAAATTTGGATATTATGCAAAAATGTTAACCAAAATGTGTTCTTACCAATACCTTGAATAAATTTTTGGCTTCTCCATCATTTCATTTCAGCCATCTGGCCAACCCCTCTGAATAGAATTAGCAGCTGAGCACTACTGGATCTAATCTTCCCCTTTTCTACAAGCTTCTGTCACATCTATTTTAAATAACTGCCAGAACCTTCAACTCTACCTCCACCTCACTCTTAGTTCATAGATGGGCTGCCTATAAATAAAAAGAATAGAAGCCTTTTGTCAGAAACCCTCAGCTTCTCCCTAGCAAACCAATTGACCCACTGACATCTGCATCTATTCTCTCCCATGCCCCGTGCATACCTGTTAGAATGAAGGAGACATTGCTCTCCTGTATTGGTCCAATCCCCTTCACCTGGGCTCTCTGGAAACCTATACCACGGCTGTCAATTCAGCTGCATTTTCCCAATCACCACTTTAAAGTACTTGACTCTTCTTCATTAGATTAAAATTTATATATCCTTCAGGGGTCCCACATATTCCCTGTCAGCTTCCACGCTGAAGTCCTCCTGTTCTTCACAGACACACTTCTAACAGGGTTGTTTACACATTATTTTGCTTCCCACTTATTTCTTAACCTCTCCACTGTGTCTTCCACTCCCGTTATGTATCAGTGCCCAGTGATCTCCATGTCACAAAATGCAACAGAGAAATTTGAATTCTATTTGACACAGACAATCTCTCTGATTCTTGAAACACTCTTTTCCTTTGAATTCAATAGCAACATGCCCTGCTAGTCTTCTTCCAGTTTCTCTGGTCAGCCCTTAACCTTTTTTGCCAGCTTATTATTTTGTACTTAGTTCTCAGATGTTTAGCTTATTTAAAGCTCAGTCTCAAGCTTCCTAATCTGCTCACTCTATGTCATCTCCTTGGGAATGTCATTCATGGTTTAATTTAGCATGCATTTGTCAGTGGAAATCTTGACTTGAAAAGTACACTTGGTTTCTTGAAGGCACCTCAAGTTCAATACGTTCTAAATCATTTTGTAATCTCTCCTCATAAAGCCATTCTTCTTTTAGCGTTACCCATCCCAGTCAAAGGTACTGCCATCTATCCAGTCTTGCAAGTCAGAATTCTTCAAGTTATCTTTGCCACATCCTGTCATTTTTTTAACTTTTTAAATATCTCTCATTTACTTCGTCTGTTGCTCCACCCAACTCCAAGCTACTATTGTTTCTAAAATGAGCTGATGCAACAGTCTCCAAATTGTTTTTTCTGTGTCTACTCATGTCAATGGCCTTCCACCCCAACTGGCACCCCACATTATCTTTTTCTCAGAGAATCAGAATATCCTTTCAAAAATGTGAAATAGAGCGTGACTCAATTCTAAACTCTCCATTAACTGTCAATTGCTCTTTGTTAAAGATCAATAATCTTAACATGACACAGAAGATTTGATACAATCACTCCCCTACTTACTTCTCCAGGCTCTTCTTAAGCACTTTATTCCTCACATCCTTTCTTCCAGCTAAATACATCTTCTACCAGGTCTTCCAAATCCCTGACATTCCTCCTACTGCCTCATAACAATTATATCTGCTCTCTCCTCAGCCTAGAATGCTCTTCCCTCTAAGTCCCTCATCTTCCTCTAGATTTCGTTCTCATTTTTGCAAATACAGCTCAAAATTCCTTAGAGAATTCTTTTCTGATGCCCCAGACTCAACCCCCCCTTATGAACTACAGTTTTCTGTATTCCTTTCAAGACTCCTGTGTTACTATATATTTATGATTTTTAGAGTTAATGTTAGTCTCTCTCACTAGACCATAGCTCTAGGAAGTGAGTTCCACACCTGATTTTGTTCATCGAGCTATCACTAATTCCTGGAACACTTACTGGGGTTCTACTCAGCAAGCAGTGTATTTGAATGGATGGATGAATGGATGGACAAATGGATGGATGGGTAGATAAAGAAGTTAATTTGTGATACATGAGAAAGGGCTTCTAGGTTCAAATTAATTTAGAATACACTGGGTAAAAGAAATTTAATCTGGCTTTTTTTTTGCTTTGTTTTATAAACTAACACATGTTAGGTCATTTTAAGAGGGGTGTATGATAGGCAGATAGCACCACACACTTGATGTTTTGATGTATCTTTGAAGGACATTTACAGTAATTACTTCAGGGCAGTATATAGTTGGAAAAGCTGGTAAGTAAGATCTTGATAAGGACCAAAGATGAATATCTTATAAAACATAAATATTTGAAAGATCATCATAGATGCTATCAAGGTGTACAAAAAGCGGAGTATTTTCTAGTATATTCAACTTTAGCATACTGGCATTATTGTCCATATGCACAGATACAGGAAATATTTTGGAAACCACACATACATAATTATTCAATATATTTCTCACTTTAAGAGAAATGCTCCTACACTTTGTAAAATAACTTAAATGTTTTTTCCAGATTTTAACTTCTATCTTACAATAAACAACCTGCCAATCATAATCTAATCTATGTCCGTTTCACAATTCCTGAAAAGAAAAACAGGACAACTTTTCTCCTTTGCTATTTTGGTTCATTCCACTCTACATATAACATATAAGAAAAATGTGTTTAAGGGAAATTGCAAACGTAATGTCTATTTCTATATTAATACTACATTAATTTAGTATCATCAAAATATATAATTGCCTTTGATTTGTAAAGAAAGCAAAATATAGGACAATAATTAGTAAACACCATTGAAATATTCTGAAAAGAAAGGACTTTAATTACATGACTGTGTGCACGAAACTTAATAAATGATAATAAAGAATCATTAAATTCAGCAATGACTGTAAAGCATTTATAAACAATACCCATGTTGAATAACACTGTGATATAAAATGTCTTACCCTTTAAAACTCTGTCACTTTTCTCAGATAATTTTAATGTTGTTGCTGAACCTTCTGGTTTGAATTCCTTGCCATCTTTGCCATCTTTCACTTCTTTCCCATCCTTCACATCTTTCCCTTGTTCTTTTAATTTGGCGTCGATCTCTGTTATTTTGCTTTCAGAGCTGGACTCATCTGACAGCTTAAACTCAGGTAATATTTCTTTCAAGAGCTCCCAAACTTTGTCCATATATCCTGGGCTTAGGTTATAAAACAACATTAATTTCCAAATTAAGTTTTTTACTCCACATCAAGAAATTACTAACAGAAAAAAATCAACTGTCTATTTCACAAGACAAATTTCAATAGTTATTTCATATTTTGGTTAAAAACACCATACGTACTCATTAATTCAACAAGCTTTGTTTGAGTGCCTACTCTGTGCTGGGCTTTGCTGATGGCAAAGACATCAAACACAGAGTTCCAGTTGAAGGTGACTATGTAAGAGGATTCTGAACTCACCTCTTCCTATGGACACACCAAATCTATAGCTACATACAGAACAATTTCCTCTGAAGATAATAATAATAAAAAAAACCTAGCTGAGAAATTCTTACATATTTGGCAAATGAGAAAAAACAAACAAACCCATATTTAAATGGGTAGAAGAGACTGAGACACAGTTTTGCTATCAATCCCCTTTAGTGTGGGAACCCACAATTTGGGGGGACCTCATAACTGTGAGCTTTTCCCTGAGGAGTGAAGTGTTTGAACCCCACATCTGGCACCCAACTTTTAAGACCTGAAGCTCAAAGACAAACTCCCAAAATACCTAGTTTTGAAAGCCAGCAGGGCTTGTATCCATGGGACCCACAAGGCTATAGTGAACTCAGAAACAATTCTTAGAGGACTCATGGATTCACCCAGCACAGAGGCATCTGACTGAAAAGCACCCAGACCTTCTGTGCAAGAGGCTAATTTGCTTATCAAAGTGTCAGCCTGAGGAGCAGGTTGCTAATTAAACATTTATAAGGGCTGACTGTAACCCTACCCAGAGATCTCAGGGTCAGGGTGCTATCTTGGCTCTCTCCTGCTACTGTGCCCCGAAGCACTGGCATCTCTCAGAGAGGAGCTTGTACACACATCAGGCACCCCAGTTTTTTCAACTTGTGCCCTGATTCTTGTGGCTGCTGCCCAGAGGACATCTCTTAAATACTTGGCATTGGTGGTCAGTGGGGCTTGCCTTCAAGGGTCAGGTGAGACTATTACAAACGGAGAAATAGTTGTTAACCAGTTACACCCTTCCCTACCAGGGCACAGGACAGAGACAGCAGACTGAAATGTAACTCCAGCCGTTCTTTAGGAAAGGCAGATTAGCTTATCTCCATAGCTGTGGCCTGACGGGTAGACCTCTAATTAAACAAACCCACATCTAGATGTAAACTACAATCTTCTCCAGAGTCTGGGGAGGTTGGCAGGTGCCATATTCATGCTCCTCCATTGGTGTCTCAGAGAGAGGAGCTTATGTACGGTCTGAAGCCCTGGCTTTTGTGTCTGCCGCTGAGAGCACATATCCCTTGACAGCATGAGTCTGGTGAACAGCTAGGCTTAAGTTCACAGACTGAAAGAAACAGTAACAAAGAAAGACACAGTTTTTAACTGGCTATCACCCCAGGACTCAGCACAGAAGGAGCAGACACTCCCATCTCACAGTCTTCCAATAAAAAAGGCATACGTGTGTACTTTAAAAGTTACTGCCTGATAATCTTGGTTCTAATCAGCCTGAATCTAGATGCTGACTGAAAACCTTCCCTTTGAGAGACTGACAGGTCTTGGCACATTCTTAAGTACTGTTAGCCACATCCTTAAGTACCGTTAGCCACTGAAGTAAAGTAGGCAGTTTACGTACAATCACGTAGGTTTGAGAGACTAAGAGATAGGGCAGATTGAATAGGTTTTAACTTCTACATGGGGACACTCCCTGAAGACTACAAGAGATAGATATTTTATCTAAAGCATAAAAAGAGAGTTAAGGAAAATGAAAAAACCAGAGGGATATGTTCCAAACAAAAGAACAAGATAAAACCTCAGAAAAAGATCTTAATGAAATAGAGATAAGTGATTTATCTGATAAAGAGTTCAAAACAATGGTTATAAAGAGGCTCACTGAGCTCCGGGAAAAAATGGATAAACAAAATGAGTATTTCAACAGATAGAAAGTATAAGAAAGTACAAAATAGAAGTCAAAGAGCTGAAGAACACAATAACTGAACTGAAAAATACATTAGAGGGTTTTAACATCAGACTAGATAAACTGGAAGACAGGATTAGTGAACTTGAAGACAAGGTCATGGAACTCACCCAATCAGAGCAGTAAAAATTTTAAAAATAATTTTAAAAGGTGAAGATAGCTTAAGCAACTTATGGAACAACAAACAAACATTGATTATAGGGGTCCTGGAAGAAGAAGAGCGAGAAAGGGATAGAAATCTTATCTGAAGAAATAATGCCTGAAAAATTCCTTAACCTGAGAAAAGAAACAGATATTCAGGATGCCCAGAGAATTCTGATTTAGATAAACTCAGACAGATGCACACCAAGTCACATTATAATTAGAGTGTCAAAAGTTAAAGACAAGGAGGGAATCTTCAAAGCAGTAAGTGAAAAAAAAATTGTCATGGACAAGGGAACCCCCATAAAACTATGAGATTTCTCAGCAGAAAGTTTGCAGACTAGAGGGGAGCAGCATAATATACTAAACAGCCTGAAAGAAAAACTGCCAACCAAGAATATTCTACCCCAAATTTGTCATTCAGAACTGAAGGAGAAATAGAGAGTTTTCCAGACAAGCAAAAGCTAAAGGAGTTTATCACCACTAGATCAGCTTTATGAGAAATGTTGAAGGGATTTCTTCAAATTGAAACCGAAGAGCACAAATTAGTAATAGAAAACATAAGAAAATATGAATCTCACTGATAAAGACTAATATATAGTAAAATTCAGAAAAATATAATGTAAAGATGGTGAGTTAATCACTTATAAAGCTAGTATGAAGGATGAAGGACAAAGTAAAAATAACTATAATTACAGTAATTTGTTAAGGGATATGCAAGATAAAAAGTTGTAAATTGTGATAACAAAAGCATCCAATGTGAATGAAGGGAGTAACAATGCAGAGCTTTAGAATGTGTTCAAACTTAATTTGTTATCAACTTAAAATAGACTAATAAATATAAGTTGTTCAATATAAGACTCATGGTAACCACAAAGCAGAAACTGATAGTAGATACACAAAAGATAAAAAGAAAGGAATCTAAACATCTCACTACAGAGCATCATGAAATTACAAAGGAAGAAAACAAAAGAAAACAGGAACAAACAAAATACAGAAAAACCAGAAAACTAACAGTGGCAATAAGTCAGTCCAATGAATAATTATCTTAAATGTAAATGGATTAAGTTCTCCAATCAAGAGACATAGTGAGATAAATGGATTAAAAAAAAATCCACCTACATGTTGCCTACAAGAGACTCATGTCAGATGTAATTCAAACAGACTGAAAATAAAGGGATGGAAAAAGATACTTCATGCAAATGAAAACCAACAAATATGGGGTAGCTACACTTACATCAGACAAAAAAGTCTTTAAGACAAGTCTCTACTAAGAGACAAAGAAGGCAATTGTAAAATGATAAAGGAATCAATCCAACAAGAGCATGTAACATCTATAAGTATGCACCCAACACGTGAGCACCTAAGTATATAAAGCAAATATTGAAAGACACACCTGGAGAAATAGAAAGCAATACAATAGCAGTAGGAGACTTTAATACCCCACTTTCATCAACGAATAGATCATCCAGACAGAAAATCAATAAGGAAACATTGGCCTTGAATGGCACATTAAACAGGATTGACTTGGACAGAAACAGAACATTCTACCCAAAAGCAACAGAATACACATTTTTCTCAAATGCAGGTGGAACATCCTCCAGGATAGACATATATCAAATTACAAAACATCAAGAATGAAATTTTATCAAGCATCTTTTCTAACCACAATTATATGTAACTAGAAATTAAATATGAAAAGAAAACTGGGAAATTCACAGCTATGTGGAGATTAAACATGTTACTGATCAACCAATACCTTGAGACAAACAAAAAAAATGGAAGTACAACATAACAAATATACAATAAATACAACAACAAAACAAATACACCAAAACAAAAGCAGTTCTAAAGGAGAAATAGTCCTGAAAGAGGAGTTCATAGCAATAAGTACCTACATCAAGAAATAAGGAAGATTTAGAATAAACTACCTAACTTTCAACCTCCAAGAAACTAGAAAAAGAAGAACAAATGAAGACTAAAGTTAGTAGAAGGAAAGAAACAACAATGATCACAGTGGAAATAAATGAGAGACTACAAAGACAATAGAAAAGATCAAAGAAACTAAGAGCTGATTTTTTTTGAAAAGAAATGAAATTGACAAACCTTTAACTAGAGTCATTAACAAAGAAAAAATGGAGAAGATTCCAATGAATAAAATCAGAAGTGAAACAGACACATTGCAATTAATACCACAGAAATGCAAAGGAACATAAGAGACTACTATAAACAAGTATACAACAAACAACAAATTGGATAACCTAGAAGAAATGGATCAATTCCTATAAACATACAACTTACCAAAACAAAGAGAAAATCTGAGCAGACTGATTACTAGTAAGGACCAAATCGGAATCAAAACCCCCCCAAGAATGAAAAGTCTAGAGCCAGATAGCTGGTGAATTCTACCAGTGTTTTTAAAAAGAATTAATACTAATACTTCTCAAAATCATCCAAAAATTAGGAGAGGGGAATACTTTTAAACTCATTTTACAAGGCCAGAATTACCGTGATACCAAAACCAGGCAAGGACATCGCAACAAAAAACTACAGACCAAAATTCCTAATGAATATACACGCAAAAAATCCACAACAAAATATTAGCAAACAAAATTTAACATATATTAAATATATTAATATACGTATATTAATATATTAAAAGTATCATACACTATGATCAAGTGGGATTTATTCCAGGGGTTTAAGAGTGATTCAATGCACAGAAATCAATCAGTGTTGCTACATCACAGTAAAAAAATGAAAGATAAAATCATATGGTCATCTCAATAGATGCAAAAAAATTTGACCAATTCAACAGGCATTAATGTTAAAATGCTCAACAAAATGGGTTTAGAGTGAATGTGCCTCAATATAATAAAAGATGTATATGGCAAGTCCACAGCTAATATTATAGTCAATGGTGAAAAGCTGAAAGCTTTTTTCTAAGGTCAGGAACAGGACAAGAATGCTTACTATAGCCACTTTTATTCAACATAATATTTGAGGTCTAGCCAGAGCAATTAGGCAAGAAAAGGAAACCAAATCAGAAAAGAAGATGTAAAATGATCACTATTTGCAGATGGCATGATATTATATTTTAAAAAACCCAAAAACTTCACCTGCAAACTGTTAGGATAAATAAATTCAGTACAGTTGCAGAATACAAAATCAATATACAGAAATCATTTGCATTCTATGCACTAATAATGAACTATCCTAAAGAGAAATTAAGAAAACAATCTCATATACAATTGCAGGAAAAATAAACAATCTTAAAATACCTAGGAATAAACTTAACCATAACTTCACCAAACGTTTCAGTGGTGAAAAACCTACACTGAAAACTGTAAGACATTTATGAGAGATATTGAAGACGACACAAATAAAGGAAAGATATTCCTTGCTCATGGATTGGAAGAATTAATATCATTAAAATGTCCATATTACCCAAAGCAATCTAAAGATTCAATGCAGTCTCTATCAAAATTCTAATGATATTTTTCACAGAAATAGAACAATCCTAAAATTTGAATAGAACCACAAAAGATCCTGATTAGCCAAAGCAATCTTGAGAAAGAACGACACATCTGGAGGCATCACATTTCCTGATTTCAAACTACAACACAAAGCCACAGTAATCAAAATAGTATAATATTGGCATAAGAACAGATACATAGATCAATGGAACAGAATAGAGAGCCCAGAAATGAACTCATGCATATATGGTAAATTAATTTATGACAAAGGAGCCAAGAATATAAGGAGGAAAAATACAGTTTCTTTAATAAATGGTGCTGAGAAAACTGGACAGCCACATGCAAAAGGTTAAAACTTAACCAATATGTTATACCATACATAAACACTAACTCAAAATGTATTAGAAAGTGACCCTTGAAACCATAAAACTCCTAGAAGAAAGCAATAGGTATTAAGCTACTTGAAATCAGTCTTGGTGATAATTTTTTAGACTCTACACCAAAAGTTGATATTTAAGCTTGGTGAGATCTAAATGTCATGACATATCCAGTAAATATCTGGTGCAAGATCATTCCAGGAATAAGGAAAGAACAGCTCATGTGAAGACCCTAAGGGACAATAAGTTTGGTACATTTGAGGAACAGAATGAAAATGTGGGTGGCCAGCTAGTGGTTGCCAAGACAGAGTTTTTATTTTTGCAGTTACTCCCACAACAGCTCTGCAACATAGGTATTTACAATCCTGATTGACATTTAAGACGTTAAGATGTTAAGCAGTCACACAACTAGCAAATGATAGAATCAGGGTTAAAACAGATCTTTCTGAATCCAAAACCCATTTTTTTTGTTTGTTTTTTCCCTTCATCTACCATATAAAAAGTATTATGCTACAAAAAAGAAATATTCAAACACCACAGGATGAAGCTATATAACTTATTGGACAGTTAGGCTTAGATATAGGGGGCGAAGTGCTCTATTCACAAATGAACTACACCAAGATCAGAGAATTTGTGGTTTAAAGAGTCATCACTTGATTTGAAATTGTGAGACTTCTAATATCCACTCTGTGTTTCTATTATTACATGGAGTTGGAAGGTTTTTTTTTCCCTAATAATGAAACAGTGCTAACTGCAAGGAAATGTAAGAGGCAAAGTCAATAACTGTGAATAGAGCAACGTCTCCCTTTGGTTCTCCTGTGGGAGAGCGGGAGGGAAAGGGTTGTCTGTTGGAGATGCCACAAAACACTTCGCCTTAATTGATTTTCATATGGAAAAGTTCAGTAGTGTACATAACTTTGAAACTTGAATACTCTAATTTTCCTCGACCTCTGTGAAACCACGGCCATGCCTGGCTAAGCCCCCCAGGGGCTGTTCTGCACACTCTAATCTTTCTTAGTAATAGAAGCATCCCACTCCTGAACGTACCATGGCTTTGATCATACTGTTCTCCTGGCTTCCATGTCCCTTCCTTCCTTCCCTTCAAATCAAACTCAGGCAACATTAAAGGCCCAGACCAAGTGGAAACTTTCTCCATGAAGCCGCACCTGACTTCTGCCTGCATCCCTGGCAGATGGTGAGTTCAAATGAAACATTTCTTGACAATCACTTATATACTGTTTCATGGCATTATTTTCATTTAAAATTATACATATATATACACATGAATTAACTTTGTAATTTTGTAGTACAATTGTAATTTTAAAGTGTATGAATAATGTGGCAGAATGTTTATAACAAAAAATCCTACAAATCATGACATAGATCAAAGATAGTGTATATCTTTTATTTTTGGTTATATTTAGAAGAAAAATGATAGATTTGAACAGCTGAGTCAGTCTCACTTATTTTTCAGACTTTTCCCTGTTTCTGAAGGTTGACTGTTAACTACTATATGTATTTCTAAATATTAGATAATCTAGTGATACTCGTTAGAGGGAAAGAAACTTCCACCAGTTATGTCTCTACCATATACTAGCTACTTTTTCTGAAACGCTCATCTACTCACTTAATCTCAGAAAAATCATATATGATAAGTCATTTTATCCGCATTTTAAATATGAAAAAACTAGGGCCCAAAGAAGTTATATTACTAGCAAAATTCACATAGCTTCAAATTGGAGTATAAGAATGTAAGTCCAGCTATATGGATCTAATTCTAAAGCTCAAGCTTTTCCCCTTTATATCATTTTCATAGACATTTCATAAGCAACCACAAATTCATGCAAGTTGACCATCTACAATTCTTCAAAATGTTAATTCAATTTAATGATTAAACTGGTCTTCTGATTCTGAAAGTATATGAATATTGTTTTCAATTTTCATGTATGATTTCACTGTATGATTCTAGCAAGAGACAATCCACAATTTTTAATTTACTGATTTTCTAGTCATGAATTATTTTGCTCCCCTGTTTCTTTACCACCCTCTGACAGACCTCTGATATTTTCATGTTTCTGATATCTTCATTGCAGAAAGAATTAAGGCAAAGCTGTACGCGTTCCATCAACACTGAAGATAAAAATTTAGAAAAGTCTGTATTTAGAAATCCCATTCTCTCTCAGCTTCTCTCCACTAACATTGTCCATATTATGTCAAGGAATTTTCTCTTTTCTTAGATATCAGAAAAGAATTTTCCATGAGACCTCTAAAGGATGCCATCTGGACCCTTCCCCACAGGTAAAGAGCAAGATCAGCCCTCTTTTGAGAAAGTGGTCCTTCCAGGTAGTTGTCTACCTTCCCATTTTTTATTTGTAAATATTTTTATTTGAACCAAGCAATGGCTAGCTTATCCTTCTGAAAAGATGATTTAGATGGTGAATCCAAGTTACGAGGACCTGTCTTCAAGCTCCTTTAACTTGGACCCTAGGAATGGTAGCTTTCTAATATCAAAGATCAGAGTTGATCCAAATTGATTATTGTGGATTTGACCTTGTAAAAATCAGCATCTGGATTGACAGTATGCTCAGATCTATTGATATAACTGTTTTCTATGCACCTTAACCTGATTAATTTCCAGCGTCAGTGGCAACATGATCAAATTATGTCTATAACCTTTATGTATAAAACAAAAGTATTTGTGAAATTTTAAGTAAGCATTACTTTAAATGTTCTCTCTTTTTTGGACATAGATAAGCAATCTCTGTATATCTAGAATCATATGAGAGAAAGACTGGTGGCTTTGGACCCCGCAAGACTTAGATTCCATTTTTATCTCCTCCTGGTACAATGTACACAGCTTTAGGGAATTCAACTACTCTGAGCTTCCGTTTCCTCATTTCTGATAACATATACCTAGCTGATAGGGTCATATGGACGATTAAAGAAGATAATCTTTTCAGGACTGTGGGCTTTAATTAGAAGTAATATATTAAAATACCTAATGCCTAATAGACATTTTATTATTATTTATTCCCTAGTACAAGTGGTTAGTTGAAAGTTGCTTTCATGTTTCTGTATTGAGTAAGTGAATAAGTATAAAGGGACAGCTGTAAATACATTACCATAATAAATAACATTGTTTTAATATTTGTAATTCAGATGCTTAAGGATTAAATTTATAGTATATATAAGGAAAAAATTTTATCCTGGACTTCTTAAAAAATTTTATATAATACTATAAAATGTTATTCTCCAAACATTTTATAAAATGTGACAATTTTTGAAATTTTCTTAAAGATTAAGAATATTTTAGTTAAAGTAACCTTACTGGGGAAGAAAGAAGCAAAAATAACTTAAAGGGTGAAACGTACTGGAGAGAAATGACTTCTGGTAGCCATCCCGTGAGTGCATGAATCACCATGAACTCTCCCAGTTCTCGCCTCTCTGCTACGTGGATGCTAAAAAAAAAATGTGCAATTGTACAGTTAATAACACTTGAAGACACAGAGAGATACATAAGAAATAGGAATGTCTAATATGCAATGATACAATAATAAATGTAGGGGTCCTACTGGTTATATTAGAGGACAAGAAAATACTTTTCCACCAGCCAGATGACTTGTTTTGCTAAGGCACTTAAATAGATCCCATGGTAAAATTTCATATCTATTAAAAAACATGCTTATAAGCTTCACTTTAAAATGTCATATATGTAAAACACTGTCACATACTTAAAACATATCTATACATATTATATATTATGAAATATAGAGAGATGATATATAATCTATTTTATATTTTCAATATAGTAATCATGTTCTTTTAAAAATAGGACAGTGTCTTTCATCTTTCTGCTTTCAGGAATTATTCTAAGACGTCTGTAAGGCTGCGTATTATGTCAGTCTCACACGTGGCAGGACTATATGGGCATCAGATATCTTTAATTAGATCCTTAGATAATTTTGGAGAAACCAGAATCATCCCTTCTATCCTGTACAAAAGAGTGAACCTGCCACCCTCACGTAAAATCAAATGAGGTTGTGGTTGACCAAATATCACTCTTCTCATTTTAACCCTTTTATTTTTAAGTTTTTTTTCTGATTAGCCTATTTATATCAACACACATACATTAAAATTGTTTTCTACTCAGGAATCAGAGCTTCAGTCCACCTTATGCCAAGGGTGGTGATTGATGGTATTGACCAACATACATATCTTTTTCTTCAGAAAGAAATTTTACCATCTTAGTCACATGCTCCATCATTTAGAAATTTACATTGGTTTGTTGTTTACAGATTATAAACTTTGATGTGTCTACGTATCTCAAAGATAAATATTCTGTAGGACAGTTCACAGTCTAAACTCTTTAAATAATCATTTTTAGGAAGTGACTGTACAAACCTAATAAAAATAATGCTTTTTCCTTTGCATATCTCACAGTGATATTTAAATAACCACTCAATATTAATTTTTAAGGTAAGAAGCAAAAACTCACATGAAAATAGATTTTATATACTATAAAATCTGAGAAAAAAATGTTTGGACAAATATAAATTGGACCACGTTGTGCAGATTTCCACTGGAAAGCCTAAGAAATGTCTCACATTAATTCTGGTCCTTTATTTCCAAGCTGAATTTGTTTACTTTTCAAAAATAGCAGTAATTCTATGACTCAAGTTGTTATAAAATTCTACTGAACTATGGCTTTAAGAAAGATAAAATGCCACCCCAATTATCCAGGTCACACATTTACTGCTTCACTGGCCTTGCAGCTCTAATTTGCTGAACTTCGAGTTAGGTCTGAGAATTAGGAACATTATTTTCTTTCAAAATAAACAAACGTAGTCAACACCATTTTAAATACTTAGTAGTATTCAGCTACCTAAAACGACATGGGCTGAGCTTTTAAAAAATGATTGAAATTAAGGGTTGCAAGCTGGGTAAAACAAATTCTCAATAGAAAATTCAGGGTTAGTAAGAGAAAAGAAAGATGAAGAGGATGGCAGCTGGAATGGCTGTTTTTGTTGTGTAACTTTGGGAGAGAAAGAGGAAGCTGAGCCAAAAGAAAATCCACAGAGAAGCAGACCAGGCTTCTGACTGACATTGCTGTGTGTAACAACAGACGGGGAGGGGCTGAGCTTTGAGCAAATGTCTGGGGTGACCTGTTAAAGCCAGCGGGTGTGTTCTATTGAAAAGGAGAGGCTGTGATACACTGCAGGAAGGAGAAGGGTATCAAATTCAAGCGAGTGCATTGTGTGGGAGAGCTCTCCCACTGAGCACCGACACAAAGTTGCCTTGCACTTACTTGCAACTCAGGCATCAAAGCTTTTTTTGGGTGGCTAAGGCGGGGATGCAGTGACCACAGGTCTCTGCAAGTGGCAGCTGAGAGAATAAACCTAGTAGACGTGTCTCATATATGTCTCCTGCACAAGTCATGCGAGAATACAAGACATGAACACATTTCACAGGAATATTGAAGGAAACACGAGTAGTTTCCAACATGAATATATTAAAAAGGACTAATGTTACCAAAAGTGTGAGGAGCACGTTGACAGCCTTGAGAAGAGTTCAGGTTTTCAAGATGAGTAGGTAATTGCTGCAGGTACAGAGCCTGAAATGTTCACTGGATTCCAGTATACATTATTCTGTGTTTAGATGAACCAACATTTCCCCATACAAAACAACTTCTTTCTCCCATTAAACTATTTTCCATGATTGACTTTTAAATTATCATAAGGAAACACTGGATAGAGAATAAATTTTGAGTATTCTTGAGGGAACTTTTATTATCGCTGGCTAATGCAATACTTCAAATCAGTGGCTTTGGCATGTTTATTTTTATATTAGGAAGTTTACACTGTTTGGAAAGAAGGCTTTTTAAATCTGATTTTTTAAATAATTAAGGGTGTGCAATATAGAAGTATAGTTATTGTTACTGTTGGTTTTTTTGTTTGTTTTGTTTTTATAAAAGTAAGTGATAATTCTTCATTCTACCTACTCAACATTTGCCAGCTTAATGATAGCTTTAGATAAAAGCATTGGCCAAAGTTCAAATTCATAGGTTGTCGCAGGAAGCAGGAGATTGTTTTCTTCATCAAAAGGCAGAAAGTCATCAATAGTTATCTTTCTCCAGCAACCCTAAAAATGAGAAGAAAGGAACATACCATCAATGATTTATATTATTTTTTCATATACATTACTGTACACTGTTGACATTATTATTTATTGCTTTATAATTTTATTAGCTTCTTACATCCAATGACTGACATACTGGTATTCAACACTGCTCTGGCTGAGAATTTTAGCTTATTATTTTATTTAATGTAATTACAGAACTTTGTATCAATAGTGTCATTATTTATGAGGTTCTTTAGCATATTCTTGAGCACCCCATCCTACATATTGCAGTAAATTAAAGTGTTTCAAATAACAAAACCAAAACATCATACAAGTATGGATAAGTTTGGGTATAATTAAATAACTTAATACAATCATAATGCAAATTCTACAAATATAACTTTAGTAATCATTATTTATCCTCATAGGCTCAGTGATCTTATACTTCCAATGACCATATTACTCCTACTCCTAATTAAAGATCTATTTTTAACATAAAGTTAATAATTTATTTAATAAACTCATTATACATTTACCTGTATATGTATTACTTCATAATTAAAAGCTTGAGACAAATGATAAAATTACTGATTATTAACTCACATTTTTTTAAACTTTGGTTTTAGATGTGAAATTTTATTATGAGTTCATTCTTTTGCCCAAGAAATAGTTTCAGCAGTGATGTAAGCGTTGTGAACCCACATAACACATGGCCTATACCGATACTATTGAGTTGCTTATAGTCTAGTGAGGGAAGGTATATAAGCAAACAACATAAAATGTAATATATTTAAAATGTCTAGGACCAAAAGGAAAGTGTGACTAATTTTGCTTGGGGGATGTCTTCACAAGAAGGTGACATCTAAACTCAAGATTCGAGGGGCAGGATACTTTTCCTAGGTAGATGAGAACAACAGAGTGAAAAATGTTTTCTTTTTTTACACTTGTAACTGAACTCATACTACCTTATTTAGTGGTTACATGACTTTTTTTTCTTTCCTAATAGATGATGCAGGGCAAGACAGGGTTAAAAAGCACAAGTATTTAGCTCTTCCTTCTAGTTTTAAGTGAAACGATATAAAAGAAAGCATAGCGAAATAAACCAGATACAAAAGACAAATATTGCATAATTCCACTCACACAATATACCTGGAAAAATCTGATTTATAGAGATATAAAGTATAATAGAGATTACCAGGGTCTGGAAGAGAGAGGAATGAGAAGATATTGTTTAATGGATGCAGAATTTCCGTCGGGGATGATAAAAAAGTTGTGGAGATAAATAGTGGCGATGATTGCACAGCCTTGTAAAACTACATATCGCTGAATTGTACATTTATAATGGTTAAAACGGTAAATGTTATGTTAAAAATATATGTTTTACTACAATAAAAAAAAAAACAGTAATAGGAGCTCCCTTCTTATACTTAGATTTCAAAAAAAAGTTTTTGAAGAGGCTACTAGATTCCTAAGAAGGAAAAGTCTTACGTAGCCATAAGAACTCGTTAGACCAATTCAACAAATATCATCTGTTTCCAGCTGATCAGTGGGAACACACTTCAATTAAGAATGCTTTGATTGTTAAACACCATTGAACTGTACACTTTAAATAGGTGAACTGTGTGGTATGTGACGTGTATTTCAATAAAGCTGCTACAAAAAATACACAGGGATAAACGTTTGGTATTATATATCTAAAACATAATGACTAAAGTTATGACAATTTTCTTAGAATTTTTTGATTTAATACATTGGTTGGTTTCTCCCTTAAAGTTTATGAATGAATGAAATATTATATATATATATAAATATAACTATTTTTGATACCTCATCATAGAACATTGAATTATTTTTGCATTTGGTATTTTCTTGTGACTGCATGTAAATGATGTATATTTGACATTTTTATGGACTTTACTGTGTTCCACATAATTCTAAAAGATCATCAAAATGCTTAATTACAGCATGCTTATGAAGAAAGATTTTTTTGCTAATATAAACATAAATTAATAAGATATTTTAGAATATAGTCATGTTCAAATTTTAATATTTTTCATATTTGAATTCTAGGTTATAATAACTAAATGGCTACATATATTTATACCCTCTTCTTCCTATGACTATGCCGCAAGGAAAATAAAAAATTGTTTTATAATTAATAGCTTAAGTCACAATTACAAAAGATCAGGAAAAGAGTAACCAGTGGACAGAGATTTCAGCAAAAACCTGAATGGTCAGAGTTACATAGATGAGCTGGAATCCGGACTTCACTTCTGCCACTGCAGTAACAGGTGGGATGCCCTTCCCACCTAGGGCCTGCGGGTAGAACTCTGACTGCTACACCTGCTCTGAAGTAAACAAGGCAGTTTCCCTGCCCAGTGGAGCCACAGGAAGAACTGACTTCCGTCCTCCTCCTGAGTGAACAAGAGGCCCCCTGGCCTGGCGAGAACCTACTGGAAGGACCCTCATTTTCACACTAACCGTGCAGCAGTGAAGCACACTGCCGCTCCTCAGGTGGGGGATTGGTCCCAGAACTGGCCACTTATACCAAAATCTGGGGAGACTCAAGTCCCATAGTTGGCCCTCCTTATATGAGGATTCAACCAAGGGCAGATCACAAACATAGTTCTGTATTTATTTAAAAAAAAAAAAGTACTTATAAGTGGACCTGGACAGTTCAAGCCTGTCATTCAAGGGTCAACTGTAGTTATTGTTACCTTCAAACAATGGAGTACAAAGTAGATCAATAAATATTAGTGTAAGAAATATCCATGGTTAGGGAAAAAATACAGAATGATGAGTATTGTATGATCTTACTCTTGGTATAGATTATGTATAATAGGTTTACACATGTTTATAAGAAAAATGTTTAGGATTAGAGACATCATTTACTATGATTGTCTGGGTAGTAGAATCATAGGGAAATTTTACTTACTAATTTAAATATTTTAACAGTGTTTGGGTTTGATTTACTAAAAGCATACATAATTTACTGAAAGTATATATAATGTTAATAAAGAACTGAGAATGAAAATATTTCCATTTTGGAAAAAACGTTATGGAATGTTGGAAAATAATTTGTCATGGCATATACCTTGAAAACACTGCTTAAAGAGAAAAAGACGTCACTGGGTGGGAGAGTGCTTGTTTCAAGAGATCTGACTGCAGGCTCTGCGCAGAGACTCAAGGCAGCTGGGCTGGGGTCTGGGAAACAGGTTGGGTGGTGTTGATGCTGGTGTGCCTGCACCCCACAGTTTAAGAAACTCTGGATTTGACAATAATATTGTGTTTCAAAAGTAAATCAGAAATAAAAGCTAATACGTTTTTTATTTGGACGGATAGATGGCAACTAGAGAAAACTATTGATCCCAATGTGTGTGTTTTCCCTGTCTATTCAGAGACAAATGAAAGCACTGGGACACATAGAGAAAGGCTGCCAAGAGCAATACGTATTTCAAGAGGAGAGCAGTAATATACTTGCTTCTTTCAAGGAGCCAAAAGTACCCGATGGGGCTACATGTGGCCCAGTAGCAGTGTTATCGCTGCCAAGGGAACGAAGAGAGAAAATATCTTTGTTTTATAACGCTGCTCTTCATGCTACCCAATACATTTTTAACTGACTGATGACAAAGAACCTTGGTGCTATTTACTTAGAATCCAAACTGGAAAAAAAAATGGGAATACTTTATGGGGAAAATGATGTGCTTATGTAAAAATCTGAACTTTAAACATCAAGCTGAGAGGCTCTGATTGGCTGATTTACTTTGAAGAAATGACTAATGTAATTGCCTCCAGAGATAACAGGAAAGGGAGAGAAGAATATATGTAATAAGGCAGAGTAAGAAAGTCAATGTTCAATAAGAAACAAATAAAAAAGCATCAAAAAAATGGAAGGAAAAACAGTGAGGAGACTTAAGGTGCAGAAGATGGAGCAGGGGAAGGAAAATAAATGCAGATGTGTCTCCAGTACATTACCCTAAATCAAGCAATAGAAGGGAACAAAGAATG